ATGACAGAAAAAGTTGTATATAAAAAGAAAATCTATAATCTTATATAACTTTTTATTTTTAATAAACCTGATCTTATACAATGATGAAAATGATCATTTAAATAATGTTTTTCTTTTTTTATTTGTTTGCAAAACAATAGAATTTGTTTCGTTTTATCTTCTTATTTAAGCTTTAACAGCAAAAGTACGTTGTGGAAAAGCCCATTGTCGTCGTTGAATTTTTTTCAATTGAACTGATTTTTCCTTTGGTGATAATAAACGTCGAATAGCTCGTGTTTTACGTTTACGTAAATCTTTTGGCTTATATTTTTTGCCATGATATAATGCACGTAAATTGGCTTTTGTTGTTTGATGTGTAACAATAAGAACACGTGCAATTGATTTTCGTACATTACGAATTTTGCCTAATTTTTGTGCACCACCACTACCAGTTACTTTGCCTACACGAAGTGTATTTAATTCTTGACGTAATTCTTCCAATTGTTTTTGGAGTTCATCTTAAAAATAAAATAATAGAATATAAATAATGATATGATTTTAGAATTCTTACCGGGCTTTTTGCCGCGTATTTTCGAACATTTTACACGAGTCATTGTCTGATCGAATATCTAAAACTATATGTAGAACTAAGTATAAGCGAAAATTATCAAGGAAAATATAAATGAGATGAATGAATTATTTTAAAAATAATGATGACTCAGTTTATTGTTGAATGGTTAATATTGATTCCAATTCGAATAGAAACTCTTCTAACTCCTCCTCAATACATAAGATGAACAATTGATATAAATCAATGATCAAATTTATTTTCATTTACGATTAATAATTATAAAAGAATAATAGTAACTGATAGTATTTTCTATCGAAAATAATTCTATAAATAGATGGCGTGCATAACTTAACTAGGAAATTTATTCATAGAGGATGTAGTAATATTATAAAATATATTAATTGCTGTTCTTAACTGTATATCATAAAATTTACGTATCTAATGCGATAAAATTCTATTTGTTTACTTTATTTAAAAAAAAACGGCAGTCGGGCAAAATGCCTGTAACTCTTTACTAAAAATAGCTTGAGTTCTGTAACCATCATTATTAGACAGAAGGCAGGTATCGAATAGTGGGCGTCACATAATTCTAGCTATCAAGGTTAAAAAGTTAGAAGCATTTTGCTCGACTATCTCTTTTTTTAAATCCCGAAAGTAATATAAAGTCAACGCTTCAAACTATTATCACGTATCTTAATTAAAAATTGTTCATATATTAAAATAGCTTATAACGATTAAAAAACAACATTCTTATTTGATAGAAATCGACAACAGTTATTTTTCAATATACAATAAATGCAGTAATCATGAAATTTCGATAAAAATTGTAAATAATTTATTGGTCACATTTAATTCTGCTGAGTTACATTCATAAACATTAAAATTCCTTTACAATATCGTAGTTTTTCAAGCTTCACAAAATTCTCTCTTAGATTCGAGTATTTTTTTTGAATAGGGAAATAAGGAAAAGTGTATTCCAATACGTGATATTTGATTATTTAAAGCACAAGAATATATTTTTACTCGATTGTATATATAAACAAATTTATCAATAAAAGAAAGATACCTTCAGAGTAATTAACCATATCGATATTCAAGTAGTCCAATGAAACGCCATATCTTATTTGGACAGTTCGAATTTCGTATATATGTAGCCAACTGCGATGATTATATCGTAAAAAAGGATTCCATACCTTAGCAAATATCTCTATCTTAATAAACTTCATTGTCTTGATATAAATATACACTGAAAGCTAATTAGGGTATTTATTTAAATACAAATCATACATCAACAATTATTATCCTCAAAAAAGATTATTTTTCATATTATCTATGATATAAAAAGGCTATAGCCATTTATGTATATATATATTTATCTCCCTGTTATACATCAAGTAAAAAATAGAAATGATAATGATAAAAAAAATGCTAGAATATTATAATGGTAAAATTGAACAATGAACATTCTCGGTATATGCGTAGTTTATGTAACTGCATTCTTAACGGTTTCTTTAGCAGTTTGTTTAACAACTTTTCGTGCAATCTAAAAGTAAAAAATAGTTAATTTTTGAAAAAGAAAAATATTGTTAACAAAATTCTTACTGCTTTAGGACCAATTCCTCCAACATAATATGCTGTTAATGCACTATTTCCAAGTGCATATGCTGCATTCTCAGTTAATATTGAAGCATCTTCTCCATATCTATAACAAATTCAATTATAAATTTTCTAAAGAATATCGATTTTTCTTACTTATGTTTAACAACACGAACACTTTCAGTAGCTATATTTGTTGCTAAATGTTTTGCGGCATTTTCACAACTTTCATATATAACACCAAAACCTTTTAAAACAGAATCGAAACTATAAATGAATAATTTATTATCAAAACTTACTGGTTAAACCAGCATGTCCAATACCACGAATACCACTTAATTTAACTGCTTCAACAGTACCATCTGGATTAACTTTTTTTTCGACTTTACCAAGATTAGGAGCAAATGTTCGTGCTAATGCAAGTGTCATTGCACCAACTTTTGATACTAAAAAATATGAAAATAAATTAAGGGAACAAAAATATATTTTGTATGCTTACCAACATAACTACTTGCTTTAACAGCAACAACAGATGTTGAACGTAAGCCACGTGCTGTTAAATGCAAACTTTTACTAACTTTTGTTGGTTCAGGATTAGGAACGATTTTATCATGAACATTTTTTGATACTTGTTCAATTAAATTTTCAGCCATCACAACACCAGTTGCTAATTGTTTTGTTAAAAATTTTGTTCCTAAAATAGATTTTCTTTTTGTTGTTGAATATTTATAGATTAAAATTTAGAATTTTACCAGTAATAAGAGCTGCAGCAAGTTTTCCTGATGTTGTTGTTTTATCATAAGGTAATTCTTCTTCAGCAGCAACTTCATCTTCGCCGATTATTTCAGCTTTTTTACTACTTGCTTCTTTTGTTTGAATTGTAACATTAGATATTATTTCTGGTCGTGTTGCTGATTGTTCAGTTAATTTAACAGCACCACTTGCAGTTGTTGTTGGAGCGGCTGTTAAAGATTCACCATACTAAAAAAAGAAACAAAAATATTATAATACATAAGAATGAAACACATACTGTAGGTGTGCCTTGTTGTGCCATAAAAACTGCGAGTTTAGAAACAATATCTTCGAAAAAATGACGAATATCTGGTACAACTGATTCATCAAACATAAGACCAACAAATTCACCTTTATAAAAGAAAAAAATATAATCAATCATTTAATATAAATCATTGATTTTTCTTACCAACTGATGTATTATTTGGAAAAATATATGCATCATATCCTGTTTTAAATGCTGGTGAAACTTTTGGATGTAATGGATATATCCAACTACCTAATTTTAATAATCCACATGTTTCACCTCCTTCACTAAAAACAAAAAAACAAAAATGATCATTAACCTATATTTTGTTCAAGTCATACGTCATTTCAAAAATTGTTAATGGTAATGATTCTGATGATGTTTGAATTGTTCCATCTTTTGCAATATAAAAAAGTCGAGCACCTTCATCAAGTTGAAATAAAACAACAGCATTGCTTTCTTCTTGTTTATCATCATTTGTCATGGGTTCAAATGCAGATGGATCTTCGAAAACTTGTTCAGCCATTTCAGTTAAATCTTGTTCATTGAATGTTTGTGGAACATGATCTGATAATTGTCGAACCATATTTTGATAAATTCCATTTGTATCTGCTGAACGATTTTGATGTAATGATGATTGAAGTAATCGTTGATTTGTATTGCGTTTTAGCGTAGTTAATTCATCATCAACAGCTGATGTACCTTCATGTGAAGTAATTAAAGAAATAACACGTTTATAAAGTATAGACGCTTCATCATATTGATGATTTCTTTCAAGATTTGTTGCACGTTCTAAATATTCCTTTGTTTCCCGTTTAAGACCTGTTGCTGTAGCTTCTGGTCGTGGACGTACTATTTCATTGACTGTACTCATTATTGCAAATTTATTCTAAAATGAAAATATATTGTTTTTGTTAAACTATATATGCATATATATATATATATAATCAATGAATGATCGAGAAGATGTGTTCTATGTAAATATGATTAACATTCTATTCGAGAGAATAATTGGTCTAGGATCTTGTGAATATAAATGAATCATCTTTGAATATAACGTCACGTAAGATCTATTATGATATGATTCATTCGTTATTCAGTCATTTCTTTAAAAGAAAGATGTCGTTCTTGATTGAATGAATAGTTTATTTAAAATCTAAGAAAGAAACTCGAAAAATGATTATTCTGATATATTTTGTGTGTAAAATATTTTTTCTTTATTTACAAATAGATAAATCATAATTAAGATGCTTTTTATGTGTATAATAGTTATAATTGTACATGCCAAACTTTACACATAAATGAAAACTACCATATCATCAATGTATGAATGAATGTTATTAACTTCTAAAAATATTTAGAGAAAAATTTCATAAATACTTTTTTACATGTAACTTATTATAACATGCAATGATTAAGTAGATATTTATCAGCAAAAAAAATTGCATCTGCGCAATTCACGTATTGTAAAGAAGTAAAAGAGTAAATATTATTCGAAATGAATCAACTAAACATGAGAAAAGATCAAAAAGTATGAAATTATATAAAATATGAAATCTACTCATTCTGGAAAATAATAATAATTATGTCTTTCTAATATCATCTTAATGAAATAATATTTGTCTCTAAAAGTATTGATTATTTTATTTGTGAACCTCATCACTTTGCATAATTCTATAAAATTTGATGCGACAAAAACAATTCGCAATGTATTTTGACTACTAGTCATTGTAATCGATTTACTTCATAATTGTATTTGAATAAACAACTTCAAATGTCGATTGTATTGTTTTTTACGATTACATTCAAGCATTTACCTTTCCTTATGTCAAGATAAAAATAAAAAAAGTACTTGATGGATTTTTCTTCTTCATTGTTTATCGTCTCGGTTAGATAGTTTTTGAAAACAGATAAGTTTTCAAACAGAGTTAAATTTCTTGAGAATATAGCTCACGTATTGTCAAATGATTTTATTTTTGAGAATGAATTTATTACCTTTATCAAAGCAATTCTTTTACTTTTTACCAACTTAATTCAAGGAAAAAAAAATGACGCATTGTGTAAATATTTCTTTTTTTTTCTTAACAACGACTGACAACAGCAAAAATAATCGCCTGCTGTTCTTTTACAAATAGACGGCAGGTATATTTTCCTACTCATAATATATTTTTATTTTGCTTATTAGATAATTTATTTATTATGGCTTACGACTTGAAAATAATAGTATGTGGCTACAAGCAAAGTATTTTCGATATTGAATGGTGCACACCTTTACCTACTAAATTCGAAGACAATCCAGAAGGTGTCAGTAAATTTATTAGAAAGCAGTTAGCATCAGTACGTTTCATCTTAATTTTTCTTGATGTTTTTGGTCATACCCTCGATTCACTTTTATCATTAATCGGAGATACTAACAATATAATTGGTATCTATATTGGTGATAATAGAATCCAAAATATAGTAAATAATCGTCCAAATATCTATTATCTTCCAAGGCGTCATATTACATTTTCAATCACTTCGCATGCTATACATGCTTGTCAATCTGCATCGAAAAATCTATTTACATCGAACAATAAAGGTGACGCTATTGTTTGGGAGCAAAAAGGCAATGATTTAAAAAGATGGTTAACAACAAATAACAAGGTATTGGACAATTATTTTTATTACATACATGTTTTAAAGTGTTATATTTAGGTAGAAGCTTGTGATATTTTAATTATTCCACTATGCACGGCCAATGACAATTTACGACTATATCAGAGCGAATTGATTGATCTATGTAATAAACTGTTTTATTGTATAGTATTGTAATACAATCTTTGTTTTATTTTTAGGTAATGATCTGTGTGAAGATTTCGAACCAAGAGTCTGTACACTCTACGATTATATGTGTCCTGATGAATCTTATCCTAATATGTCGAAGGAAGAAAAGAATTTTATTAATAATGACAACGAAAATATCTGTTCTCTTCTAACAGAAAAATTAGCACGTATACGGATATACCTCGTTGGAAATGATGAAACTAACTTAAATAAATGGAGTTCATTTTTACTTAATAAGGAACCGGAAAATTTTAGTCAAAATCTATCTCGATATGATGAACAATTTACATTTGCTGAATATGAACCTGTTACGCCTAGAACTATAGAAAGATTAAATGGTTATCGTGGTCACTTAGAACGAATAAAAAAGCCGATGCTAACAACATTGGATAAAATCCGTGAAAATTCTGGTTTTTTCTTTTATGCACTTGATCAAGGTCGTGTCAACCTTGAACAACGTGAAATGGTAGCTAATAGCATGTTATCTCAACGGACAATGAACTATCACGAAAACTGTACTGACTATAGTAATGAGGTAAAAAAAAAATAAAAATTTAAAGCTTTTTCTACGTGATATTTTTTTATATTATTAGTTTCGTAAAACCGAAGAAGCTCAACATGGTCCGACTGAACAAAATGATAATTTGGCAAATGAGATGAACCAGATGATACAATCACCAGCTCCAATTAATTCTTCAGATTAATGAATACAATTACCTGGAACTTAACACAACAAAAATTTGTATAGACTAGTCATATTTTTGTTGTTAATATTTTATGTAATGTTTGAAACTGTAAAACAAATGTTCTCAAACAAAAAATATAAGGATTGAATTAGATTCAATCTTTTTATGTTAATTTTTATTTTGATATTTGTTGCGACTAGTGAGTCAATTTCAATAAAATATTTTCTTATGTGTAGAATACATTTATTAATTGGCTTATAAATAATATGACAAAAGGTACTGCCATCAATTCTGATTTTTAATTTCTTATTCCGTTGCTATATACCAGAGATGGGACCGGTTCGGTTTCGAACCGAACCGAACCGAACCGAACCGACTCGAAATCGGTTCGGTTCGAGTTTTTGAAAAAGTAGAACGGTTCGGTTCGGTTCGGTTCGAAACTTTTTCGGTTCGGTTCGGTTCGGTTCGAGACATTTAACTCATTCAAAATTTGATATTCAAATACACTCGTTAGATTGTTGTAAATTTTGGCTTGGTTCGGTTCGGTTCGGTTCGGTTTGAGATCTTTTCGGTCCGGTTCGGTTCGGTTCGCGTTTTTGAAAAAGTAGAGCGGTTCGGTTCGGTTCGGTTCAAGATTTTTTCGGTTCGGTTCGGTTCGGTTCGAGAAAAACACGAACCGATCCCATCTCTGCTATATACAACATTTCGAGTTTATTCCTTATATTTTAAAATAATTTATGTTAATATTTGCTTAACAATAATAATTCAGATGCACTATTATTCTTTTTGCTTACTCATCAATCTAATCTCTTAACTATTAATAAATCACATTCGGACACGTACAAAAATTTTCATTTCATTCATTACTATAGACACTATTAACGAATGTTACATGATGATGTTATCTTGGAAAAAACCAAGTGCGTCAGACGTTTGATTATATAGAAAAATTGAGTTTAAAACTCGTAATAAATGAAAGTCTAATCAAAATATGTGATAAAAATT